GTGGGGATGTCGCTCGGTGCGATTGGCTGCCACGTTGCGCCCACAAAACACACAGTCACTACACTTTACAGTGTGTCCTGTGAAGTGCTTTGAGACGTCAGGCGCCGAATGAAATGCCAGGATTATTAATATTATTATTATTATTATTATCCCCGATATCGTGGGTTAAAATGCCTGATTTCTAAACTGGTTTCTTGCTTGACCTTCTGGTGGGGGAGGGGGGGGTGGGGGTGGGGGGGGAGTGTTGGAGACTGTTTTCTCTCTCTCTCTCGCTCCAAACAAACCTTTTCCACCCCAAAACACTAACCCCCTCCTCACCCCACCCCACACCCCACCGCCCACCGCCCCCCCCACACCCCACCGCCCACCCCCCACCGCACACCGTCCGCTCATTTTCTTAACAACCCATTCCCTTATTGTTCCTGAGCATTTTGTCCTTCCACAGACACAAAGACACACACACACACCCCCACAGGCACACACACACAGACATAGACACAAAGACACACACACACACAGACATAGACACAAAGACACACACACACACATAGACACACTCACAGACACACATACAGGCGCACACGCGCACACACACACACACACACACACACACACAAAGACACAGACAGTGTTGTGGGAGCACTACATTATTCGAGGAAACATGAAATCTCCAACCCCACAGATTTCTGTGTGTCTGTGTCTCTGTGTGTGTGTCTGTGTCTGTGTCTGTGTCTCTGCGTGTATGTCTGTGTGTGTGTGTGTGTGTGTGTCTCTGTGTGTATGTCTGTGTGTGTGTGTGTCTGTCTATGTGCATTAAACCAATTAAACCATAATTGCTGCTGTACATTAGTCCACAATGACACGTTCACTACACAAAACAAACCAAATTAAAGCTGGTGTCTGTGTCCCTCTCTCCCCCTCTCCGTCTCTCTCTGTGTCTCCCTCTCTCTCCCCCCCCCCCCCCCCCCCCGGTGTCCCGCTCACTTCGCTTCACGCCCGTTCGTGGGGACGTGTTCGGGCGCCATCGGCTGCCGTGTTTCACCCACGAAACGCACAGTCACCACACTTTACGGTCAGACGCACCGTCACTACACTCAACAGCGTATCCTGTGAAGCGCTTTGAGACGTCTCCGCGACGCACCTCAAACGCAAAGATTATTAAACACTGAAAGTTGTCGTCGGCGGAGAATTATGATTTCAAAAAGTCGCCGTTTTGGTTAAAAAAATAAAATGGCCGTAGACGGGGATGGGGGGGGGGTCAGGGTCAGCGGAGGATGGGTGTGTATCTGTCTCCGAGGCGGTCTCGGTCCCGTCTACGTTACTTAACGTGAAATATTATTGGAATCGTTGCTGTAATCTTTATAATTTTGTATCTGATGAAATTCTACGTAAACGGAATAAACCCTTCAATCAAATAGTCCTCTTTTTAACGTTCATTTTTTTTGTGGTTTTTCTGCGTCCACGAACACTCCCCAGGACAGTAACACACAGTCACTACACTCCCCCAGGTCAGGGTTAGAGACACAGTAACACACAGTCACTACACTCCCGGGTCAGGGTTACAGACACAGTAACACACAGTCACTACACTCCCGGGTCAGGGTTACAGACACAGTAACACACAGTCACTACACTCCCAGGTCAGGGTTAGAGACACAGTAACACACAGTCACTACACTCCCAGGTCAGGGTTACAGACACAGCACACACAGTCACTACACTCCCAGGTCAGGGTTAGAGACACAGTAACACAAGTCACTACACTCCCGGGTCAGGGTGAGAGACACAGTCACTACACTCCCAGGTCAGGGTTAGACACAGTAACACACAGTCACTACACTCCCAGGGTCAGGGGGTTAGGGAGACAGTAACACACAGTCACTACACTCCCAGGTCAGGGTTAGAGACACAGTAACACACAGTCACTACACTCCCCCCCCGGGGGTCAGGGTTAGAGACACAGTAACACACAGTCACTACACTCCCAGGTCAGGGTTAGAGACGCAGTAACACACAGTCACTACACTCCCAGGTCAGGGTTAGAGACACAGTAACACACAGTCACTACACTCCCAGGTCAGGGTTAGAGACACAGTAACACACAGTCACTACACTCCCAGGTCAGGGTTAGAGACGCAGTAAAGCTCCTCTACACTGTCTGAGAGACACAGAAAGACTGTGTGACTGTGTGTGACTGACTGTGTGTGACTGTGTGTCTGTGACTGTGTATGTGACTGTCTGTGACTGACTGTGTCTGTGATTGACTGTGACTGTGTGTGTGTGTGACTGTGTGTGACTGTGTGTGTGTGTGACTGTGTTTGCATAGGGAGGAGAGAGAGAGAGAGAGAGGGAGTGACGGACGATATTTTATTTGGAGCCACAATTCCCACAATTTTTCCCGGAAGAGGGGACGAGAGAGAGAGAGAGAAAGAGAAAGAGAGAGAAAGGCGGAGATTTATTGCTTTATATATAAAAGGCGTTAAAACAAATGTAATTTACTGCCGTTAAACGGCGGATAAACCCCATCGACCCCCACAAACCCCCTCTCCCCCCCACACCCCCCACACCCCCTAAACCCCCCCACACCCCCTAAACCCCCCCACACCCCCCTAAACCCCCACACCCCCTAAACCCCCCTAAACCCCCCCTAAACCCCCCCACACCCCCTAAACCCCCACACCCCCCACAACCCCCCTAATCCCCCCACACCCCCCTAACCCCCCCCACACCCCCTAAACCCCCCCCACACCCCCCCCACACCCCCCCACACCCCCTAAACCCCCCCCACACCCCCTAAACCCCCCCACACCCCCCTAAACCCCCCCCACACCCCCTAACCCCCCCACACCCCCTAAACCCCCCCCACACCCCCCTAAACCCCCCACACCCCCCTAAACCCCCCCACACCCCCCTAAACCCCCCCACACCCCCTAAACCCCCCCACACCCCCTAAACCCCCCCCACACACACCCTCCACTCTCTCGGTGGGAGTTTCTGTCTGAAAAGAGAGAGAGAAAGAGACGGTTTTACTCCAAAGGCTTTTTGTGAAGGTTCTTAAGGTACGTGTCGATGGGGAGAGGGGGAGAGAGAGAGGGGGAGAGGGAGAGGGGGGGAGAGAGAGAGGGGGGAGAGAGGGGGAGAGGGAGAGGGGGAGGGGGAGAGGGGGAGAGAGAGAGGGAGAGAGGGAGAGGGGGGAGAGAGAGGGGGGAGAGGGGGAGGGGGGAGAGAGAGAGGGAGAGAGGGGGAGAGAGAGGGGGAGGGGGAGAGGGAGAGGGGGAGAGAGAGGGAGAGAGACAGAGAGGGAATGTGTGAGAGAGAGAAAGTGGGAGAGAGGGAGAGGGGGAGTGTGTGAAAGAAAGACGGAGATTTTATGTTTTTTTTTCTTTGAGAGAAAGACACAAAGAAAGAGAGAGAGAGAATGAGAGAGAAAACCAATTAAAGGGTAAGAGAGAGAGAGAAAAAGATACTATAGAGAGTGAGAGAGATATGTGTCTCTCTCTCCCTCTCTCTCTTTATCTCTCTCCCCCTCTCTCTCTCTCTTTCCCTCTCTCTTTGTCACAGTCGATTCGTTGTGTTTTGTGTAACAGCCCCAAAGCCTAAATCTGCCATTTTATTTTTCTCTCTCTCTCTCCATATCTCTCTGTCTCTTTCTCTCCATCTCTCTCTCTCTCCACGTTCTCTTAACCCCCATCTACCGGGCACTCTCTCTCTCTCTCTCTCTCTCTTCCTATCTCCCTGACCCTTTCTCTTTCTCTCTTTCCATCTCTTTCTTTCTCTCCATCTCTGTCTCTCTTTCTCGCTCTCTCCCTCTGTGTATTTTTCTCTCTCTCCCTCTTTGGGGTTTTGGGATGTCCTCCCGACATGAAAGGCGCTCTATAAATGGAATCTTGTTGTTGTTGTTGTTTGGTGGGGGTGAAAGTGGGGGAGATGGGGTCACGGGGTTTGGTGGGGGTGAGAGTGGGGGTCACGGGGTTTGGTGGGGGTGAGAGTGGGGGAGATGGGGTTTGGTGGGGGTGAGAGTGGGGGTCACGGGGTCTGGTGGGGGTGAGAGTGGGGGTCACGGGGTCTGGTGGGGGTGAGAGTGGGGGTCACGGGGTTTGGTGGGGGTGAGAGTGGGGGAGATGGGGTCACGGGGTTTGGTGGGGGTGAGAGTGGGGGTCACGGGGTTTGGTGGGGGTGAGAGTGGGGGAGATGGGGTCACGGGGTTTGGTGGGGGTGAGAGTGGGGGAGATGGGGTTTGGTGGGGGTGAGAGTGGGGGGTCACGGGGTCTGGTGGGGGTGAGAGTGGGGGTCACGGGGTCTGGTGGGGGTGAGAGTGGGGGTCACGGGGTTTGGTGGGGGTGAGAGTGGGGGAGATGGGGTCACGGGGTTTGGTGGGGGTGAGAGTGGGGGTCACGGGGTTTGGTGGGGGTGAGAGTGGGGGTCACAGGGTCTGGTGGGGGTGAGAGTGGGGGTCACGGGGTCTGGTGGGGGTGAGAGTGGGGGTCACGGGGTCTGGTGGGGGAGAGGACACGGGCTGCAGAGTTCTGGCTGATCTGCAGCTGTGGAGGGAGGGGTTGGGAAGGCCGACAAGAGGGCATTGGCATAGTGGAGGCTGGAGGCGATGGAGGGGGGTGTGAGGGTCTCGGGGGCCTAAGGGCTGAAGTAGTGGTGGAATTGGGCGGTGTTATGGAGCTGAGGGTCCTGGAGTCGAAGGTGGGGGCAGACAGGCAGTCTGTCAGGACAGGAGGGGGTCTGGGGCTGAGGGTGGGGGCAGAGAGAGAGTTGGACACACAGACACACACACACAGACACAGACACACACACAGACCCACATACACACAGACACAGACAGACACAGACACACAAACCTTTTAAAAAAACGCTGTGTGTGGTTTTCTTTTCGACAGGAGACATCGTCGGGGGGGAAGACGAGAGCGAAGAGGAGAGAAGAGGAGAGGAGGGGAAGGAGGGAACGAATTGCGGTCGGAGCGCAAGAGAGGAGGAGAGAAGAGATGGAGATGTCGGGCAAGGAAGGAGGGAAGGACAGGCGGTTGGAGGGGGAGGCGGAGGGGGAGGCGGAGGGGGAGGACCCCCCGGTCCCCCGCAAGACTCCCCGCTTCCGCTGCCCGACCTGTGGGAAGGGCTTCGGGTTCCCGTCGCAGCTGCAGCTGCACCTGTACTCGCACACCGGCGAGAAGCCGTTCGAGTGCTGCGTCTGCGCCAAACGGTTCAACACATCCAGCAACCAACTGGTGCACCAGCGCACCCACTCGGGCCACCCCCGGCCATTCCCGTGCTCCCTGTGCGGCCGCGGCTTCAACACCTCCAGCCACCTGTCCGCGCACCGGCAGACGCACCGGGAGGAGAAGCCGTTCGAGTGCGCGCCGTGCCGCAAGAGCTTCGCCTGTGCCAAGTACCTGAGCGCGCACCGGCGCACGCACGGGGGCCGGAGGAAAGCGGAGGGGGCGGCGGGGACGGGGGCAGCGGAGGTGGCGGGGGCGGGCGAAGCCGGTGGGAAAGCCGGTCAGGACACGCGGCCCCGTCCCTACCGCTGCGCCGTCTGTGCCCGGCGCTTCCACCGCTCGGCACACCTCCTGTCGCACCACCGGCGGCTCCACGCGGGCGAGCGGCCGTTCCCGTGCCCGGCCTGCGGCAAGCGGTTCGCCGCCCCCAGCGACCTGCGGGTCCACGGGCGGATCCACACCGGGGAGAAGCCATACAGCTGCGGGGTCTGCGGGCGCCGCTTCGGGCGGTCTGGGCACTTGGCGGCGCACCGGCGCACCCACGAGCGGCAGCGGCTACGGGAGCAACAGCAGCAGCAACAACTCGCCCTGACCGGGGGCTCTGGGCTCGAGTGCGGGGTCTGCAAGAGGGTCTTCGTCCCTGCCGACCCCTCCCAGACACCCCCAGCCGCGTTGGGCTACGAGTGCGCCCGCTGTCTGGCCGGTAAAGGCGGCGGAGGGGGTCACGGGGGCAGAACGGTGGGGGATGTGGTTTAGTGAGATTCGCGTCCGCGGTTCCTTTTCGCTCCCGGAGCGGCGATTGGCTTCTCCCACTGCCCCCCCCTCCCCCATCACCGTCACCCCCACCACCCCCACCCTCACCCTCACCTTCACATCCCCAATCCCCATCACCCCCACCTCCACCCTCACCAGACTCCCCCCCCCCCCCCCCCCCACCTCCCTAACCGGCCCACCTGAAAGACTCGGCAAATGCAGTTATTATTGTGCCCCTTAAATAGGAGATAAATCGGTGACTCACAAACATACACACACACACATATACACACACATATACACACACACATACACACACACATACATACATACACACGCATACACATACAAACACACACACACAAACACACACACGGGTCTCAGGCTGGTTTGGAGACTCGTAAAAACACGGTGACGGGTTTCTGTGTGTCTGTGTGTGTGTCAGACACACGGCTGATCATGACGGGTGTCCGTGTGTGTATGTGTGTGTGTCAGACACCCGGCTGATCATGACGGGTGTCTGTGTGTGTATGTGTGTGTGTGTCAGACACCCGGCTGATCATGACGGGTGTCCGTGTGTGTATGTGTGTGTGTCAGACTCCCGGCTGATCATGACGGGTGTCTGTGTGTGTGTGTGTGTGTGTGTGTGTGTGTGTCAGACACACGGCTGATCATGACGGGTGTGCGTTAGTGTGTGTGTGTATGTGTCAGACTCCCGGCTGATCATGACGGGTGTCTGTGTGTGTGTCAGACACACGGCTGATCATGACGGGTGTCTGTGTGTGTGTCAGACACACGGCTGATCATGACGGGTGTCTGTGTGTGTGTCAGACACACGGCTGATCATGGTGACGGGTTTTCTTGTGGGTCAAACGTAGACTTATTTTTATGGCCAAAATCTCCAATTAGATGGATCTGATTTGTTCGTTGTTTCGTTGGGTGGGAAGTTAGTTAGAAATGGGTTGGGAGAGAGAGAGAGAGAGTGAGAGAGAAAGGGACAGAGAGAGAGAGAGAGTGGGGGTCAGATAACGAGAGGGGCAAGAGAGAGCGAGAGAGAGAGAGACACACAGAGTGGGAGACTGAATGGGTGGGGGAGAGAGACAGAGCGAGAGAGAGCGAAAGGGACTGAGAAAGAGTGGATGAGAGAGAAAGACAGAGAGATAGAACGAATGGGAGAGAGACGGAGTGAGAGGGATGGAAAGAGGAGAATAAGGGAGGGAGAGAGAGGGGAATTTCTGAGTAACACACAGTATCTGAATAGTAATTAGTATTAAATTTTAAATTAACCTTTTTTTAACTACTTTTTTTGTGTGTATCACGAAGGGAGATAGGATTTTGGTAAAAGTGTGCAAATGGTTTCTAAGTGTAGTGACTGTTTTGCGCACAGACCATCACACACACACGCGCAGACACATGTGCGCGTACACACACATTCACACGCGCACACTCAGACACACACTCACAAACATACACATAACCACACACCCAGATAAACATACACACGGACACACACTCTCACACAGTCACTACACTTTACAGTGAAATCTTGTGATGCGCTTTGAGATGTCCTCCTGGGGGTGAAAGGCGCTGTGTGTCAGGACACAGATTATTATTATTATTATTATTGAGACTGAATTGACTGTGAAGGTGTCTGTGATATTATCTGTTTCTGTTGCTTTCATTCCCTCTATATTTTTGTGACAATAAAATTGTACAAAATCTAATACAGAGGCTTCTCTGAGCAGTGTAGTGACTGTGTGTGTGTGTGTCTGTCTCTCTCTGTGTGTTGTGTGTCTTGAGTGTGTTGTGTGTCTTGAGAGTCTGTCTGTCTGTCTGTCTGTCTGTCTGTCTGTCTGTCTGTCTGTCTGTCTGTCTGTCTGTCTGTCTGTCTGTCTGTCTGTCTGTCTGTCTGTCTGTCTGTCTGTCTGTCTGTCTGTCTGTCTGTCTCCTTATCTGTGTGTGTTGTGTGTCTTGAGAGTCTGTCTGTCTGTCTGTCTGTCTGTCTGTCTGTCTGTCTGTCTGTCTGTCTGTCTGTCTGTCTGTCTGTCTGTCTGTCTGTCTGTCTGTCTGTCTGTCTGTCTGTCTGTCTGTCTGTCTCCTTATCTGTGTGTGTTGTGTGTCTTGAGAATGTGTGAGTCTGGGTGTGTATGAGTGTGTGTGGGTGTGTATGTGAGTCTGGGTGTGTGTCTGTGATTATATGTGAGTGTGGGTGTATGTGAGTGGGTGTGTGTGTATGTGTGAGTGTATATATGAGTGTGGGTGTATGTGAGTCTGGGTGTGTATGAGTGTGTGTGTGGGTGTGTACGAGTGTGTATGTGAGTCTGGGTGTGTGTGGGTGTGTGAGTGTGTGTGTGTGTCTGATTGCAGTGACAGGTTGTGTGAGGCTCAGACACTCGGCTGACGAGGATCAGACCACATTTCTCTCTAACTCTCTCTCTCTCTCGCTCTCTTCCTCTATTTATTTCCGCCTTTAATTCTCGCTTTTAACTTTCATTTCCTCTCCCCATCACCACAATCAATCAGCACATTTTTGAATTTGTGTCCCGCACATGGTCACAGAGAGAGAGAGAGAGAGGGAGACAGAGAGGGAGACACACACACAGAGAAAAAGAAGAGAGGCCGAGAGAGAGTTAGACACGGAGAGAGAGATAGAAAGACTGAGAGAGACACAGACAGAGAGACGGAGTGATGGAGGCTGAGAGACAGAGAGAGAAACAGCGAGACACAGAGAGTTAGAGAGAGAGACTGAGAGAGACACAAATAGAGACAGAGACACAGAGAGAGATGGAGAGAGTTAGAGAAAAAGACAGAGAGACACGGAGATAGAGACAGAGAGATTGAGACACACAGAGAGAGAGAGAGACTGAGGGACACACACAGAGAGACAGAGAGAGATTGAGAGAGAGACAGAGACTGAGAGACACAGAGAGAGAGAGACAGAGACACATAGAGATTGAGACAGAGTTACAGAGACAGAGAGAGATTGAGAGAGACACAGAGAGAGTTACAGACTGAGTCACACAGAGAGACAGAGAGAAACAGTCGCACAGAGAGACAGAAAGAGACTGAGAGACACACAGAGAGAGATAGAGACTGAGAGACGCAAAGACACAGAGAGAGAGACACACACAGAGAGATAGACACAGAGAGAGAGAGACACGTCTCAGAACTTCACGACTCATTGCGCCATTTGTATTAGTGCTTTTCACGTCAGGAGAACGTCCCTTTGACAAACAGAGACAGAGAGACACAGAGACAGACACAGAGACAGAGACAGACACAGACAGGGACTGGAGAGAGAACAAACCACTGAATTTGCTCGTGATCAAAGACATCACAGGAAATGATATCAGTTTCAATCCCAGTTCCCAAAATTGGTGAAATTTGGAGCAAGAAAGTGAGAAGCCAACAGGACACAGACACAGAGAATCAGAGAGAGAGACACACACACACAGACAGAGAGAGACACACACAGACACACAGAGAGACAGAGAGACACACACCACACACACACACACAGACACACACACACGCACACACAGACAGAGTCACACACACACACAGACAGAGAGAGAGGGAGACACACACCCGCAGACACACACAGAGACAGACAGACACACAGAGAGAGACAGACTGAGAGAGACACGGAAAGAGATCGAAAGAGTGAGAGAGACAGACACACGGAGAGAGACACAGAGACAGACAGACAGACAGACAGACAGAGAGAGAGAGGGAGAGCGAGAAACAGAGAGAAAGAGCGAGAAAGTGAATGAGGGAGAAAGAGAGATTACACGGAACAGAATCTGATTTGAGGGCGACATGTTGGTGTCGGCCCTGATCCTGTGTCTGATAACCTCCTCCACAGGTACATCAACCTCTGTCTGTCTCTCTCGCTCTCTCTTTCTTTCTCTCTCTCCCCCCCACTCTCTCTGCTACTACCTGTGATGATAATGATGATGAAGAAGAAGGAGCGAAGTCTATTATTATTATTGTTGATGGTTATTTATTGATTATTATTGTTATTGATCACTAAATATTATTGATTAATTATTGATTATGAATTATTATTATTAATTATTGTTGTTGCTGTTGTTGTTGATGATGATGTGGATGATGATGTTGTTGTTGTTGATGATGTTGTTGTTGATGTTGTTGATGATGATGTTGTTGTTGTTGATGATGATGTTGTTGTTGATGATGTTAATGATGTTGATGATGATGATGTTGATGATGATGATGTTGTCGTTGACGATGTTGCTGTTGATGTTGTTGTTGATGATGATGTTGTCGTTGATGATGATGTTGTTGTTGTTGATGATGATGTTGATGTTGTTGATGATGTTGTTGTTGTTGATGATGTTGTTGTTGATGTTGTTGATGATGATGTTGTTGTTGTTGATGATGTTAATGATGTTGATGATGATGATGTTGATGATGATGATGTTGTCGTTGACGATGATGTTGTTGTTGTTGATGATGTTGATGTTGTTGATGATGTTGTTGTTGTTGATGATGATGATATTGATGATGATGATGATGATGTTGATGATGATGTTGTTGTTGATGATGATGATGATGTTGTTGTTGATGATGATGTTGATAATGTTGTTGTTGTTGCTGCTGCTGCTGCTGCTGATGATGATGATGAAGGAGCGGCCCCTCAGCGAGTGGAGGTGATGGACCGGGTCACGGCCATTGCTGGACAAGACGTGACGTTGCCGTGCACTTTGCGAGAGGTGGGAGCCTCGTCCTCGGTCACACAGGTCACGTGGGTCAAAGACCCCGAGGGGCAGGGCCTGAACCTGGCCGTGTTCAGCCCCTCCCTGGGCACCAGTCACCCCCTGGGTGGGGCTGAGGGTGGGGGAGGGCACGGACGGTGGGGGCTGCGCTCCCCCTCCCCCAGCTCCGTGCCTCTCACCATCAACTCCGTGCGGCTCGAGGACGAGGGGAAATACAGCTGCGAATACAGTCTGTTCCCCCAGGGCAAGAACGGAGGCCAAACCAGCCTCACCGTGTGGGGTAAGACTGTGCGTGTGTGTGTGTGTGTGTCCATGTGTGTCTGTGTGTGAGTGTGTGTGTGTGAGTGTGTGTGTGTGTATCTGTGTGTGTGTGTCTGTCTGTCTGTGTGTCTGTCCTTGTGTGTGTGTCTGTGTGTGTTGCTGTTGTTGTTGCTGTTGTGGTTGTTGTTGTTGTTGCTGTTGTGGTTGTTGCTGCCGTTGTTGTTGCTGTTGTTGTTGTGGTTGTTGTTGCTGTTGTGGTTGTTGTTGTTGCGGTTGTTGCTGTTGTTGCTGTTGTTGTTGTTGTTGTTGCTGTTGTGGTTGTTGTTGCTGTTGTTGTTGTGGTTGTTGTTGTTGCTGTTGTGGTTGTTGTTGCTGTTGTGGTTGTTGTTGTTGTTGCTGTTGTGGTTGTTGCTGCCGTTGTTGTTGTTGTTGCTGTTGTTGTTGCTGTTGTGGTTGTTGTTGCTGTTGTTGTTGTTGCTGTTGTTGTTGCTATTGTGGTGGTTGTTGTTGTTGTGGTTGTTGTGGTAGTTGTTGCTGTTGTGGTTGTTGTTGCCGTTGTTGTTGTTGTTGCCGTTGTTGCTGTTGTGGTTGTTGTTGCTGTTGTTGTTGTTGCTGTTGTGGTTGTTGTTGTTGTTGTGGTTGTTGTTGCTGTTGTGGTTGTTGTTGTTGTTGCCGTTGTTGTTGTTGTTGCTGTTGCTGTTGCCGTTGTTGTTGTTGTTGCCGTTG